TTTTGATCCACCGGCATCTTCACGTGAAAGTAACCGCTGAAAGTGCTACAGACTAATGTGTTTCCTTTACGACTGTCTTGCAAATTATGTTAGCACGCACCTAACCGAGTCGCAACTTGTTCAACGACGACATTGCCGTGCCTAATTGTCCTACAGTACGCGCAACAGCTGACCACTGTTGACGTTATGATGACCTTTTCAATTTTTAAGCGTCCTGCAGCAACTCACAGGCTGTACAAGGTGTTTCTATTGTTTTGAACATGATTGGTGAACGTATTTAGCGCACACCTGCAAGCATAGTGGTAATTGAAGCGGCCCAGTTTCAGAGCAGACCAAATAGAGTTGATGCAACTAGAAAATGCGGCCGCCGCTACGATTGGCCAAACGTTAAGTCCGCCTTTATACGCAGATGATTGGTGAGCTGCATTTCGCAAGTGCTAGCCTTCTACGAGCGATTGGTCGCCGGGATGTGAGTCGCTGACAACTAGGGCGGCCCCGCGTAGCTAAGCAGGGATGAGGTATTGTGTTCGTTCGTTCGTACAGAGCAACCTGTCGTTCGCAATAATAGGTTCCAGTTTACACAAGCGCAAGCCTCTGGCAGCTTATATTCACAATCGACCGATCGTGTGGCTGTGTTCTCCTGTTGTGTAGGCACAGTCAGTTCAGTGATTTTGAAAAAAAGTTGTCAACGAGCAATTGTCGGCTGTGCGTTGTTGTGCCGTACAAATGGACACCGGCGAGCAACAGCTGAAATCAATGGGACTTCAGTTACCGCTCCGTCGTTCTTCCGATTTAATGACGTTAGGCGTCATGTCAGCTGCAGGGGCCTTTCAGCAGTTGTCGCACTCCAGTCCGCCAAACCCGTGTAACGGCAATGTCACCGCCAGTTCGATCTGCTCATCAGGAACGGGCAACCAGTCGGCCTCTAGTCCTTCGCTGTCCAATTCAGCGAATGGAGGCAACAGCAAGAAAGATGACAGAGTAAAGCGACCAATGAACGCCTTCATGGTCTGGTCTCGAGGCCAGCGACGGAAAATGGCGCAGGAGAATCCAAAGATGCACAATTCGGAGATTAGCAAGCGTCTTGGACTGGAATGGAAAAATCTTTCCGAAAGCGAGAAAAGGCCTTTTATTGATGAAGCCAAACGGCTACGTGCTGATCATATGAAACAACACCCGGACTATAAGTATAGACCACGGCGAAAGCAGAAGACCCTTATGAAAAAGGACAAGTTCATGACTTCAGCAGGACTTTTACCTCCTGGCCTGGATCCGATGAAAGCTGCCGCTGGCCAGCAGTCTGTGTACCAAATGGCTTATCCGATGATGACGGCCAGTCCTCCTAACGGTGCTTATAATATTGGCAACTTTGCCGCGAACGATCCATACCAGCAGCAGATCGCAGCGTATGCTCGCTACGATCCAATGACAATGGCAATGCAGCACATGCAGGGTATGCAGGCGACCCAGACGCCAACATCACCCTACCTGAATGGTTCTGCAGCTCCGTATCACCCGGCCGCGGCGGGTTACGGTGGCATGCCGTATTCGGCTCAGATCTCTGCGAATCCTTATGGCAGCTCCGGCCCGGTCCCCCTCCCTGTCAAGTCTGAAAGCTTAAGCCCGCAGCCATCGTTGGGCGGCATTGCGGCCTCCAGAAGAAATGACATCAGCGACTTCATTAATGTTTACCTGCAACCCAGTGCCGACAGCCAAAAGCTGCAGTACATGCAGAACGTGAACGCTATGAATTCGGTGCCTCTGAATCACATATAGCGGTTGGCGTAACGAAGACGGCTGAACCATGGTCGCAATCACGCAGGCACGCAAGCCCAGTTTTAATCCGTCTCGTCCCGTCTGTCACTCTTTCCGCGCCAGTGGCAAGCGTCGGTTCGACTGGCCCCTCCCCATGTTCTGTTTTAAAGCTTTAATTAAACTCAGATGGTAAGTTCTACGTCTGTCTGTCGCCGCCCTCATCGTGGTAGCAATCGCGCACGTCGCCATCGCCATCATGTTGAATGCGCGCGTTATTTCACCAGGTGATACCCACGCTGGAATCTTGGCTGGCACAAACGTCGATAGAATGCGTGCAAGTATTTCTCTCAAGTGTTTAATATATTTTCATCTGGTGATAGTGAATCTGATGTACACTTCCGTTAAATTACTCCTCTCATTTGACCGCGGTTACATATCGAGCAAACCAGTAGGTTCCATCCAAATATCGTACGTGTTGCAAGGGCGGTTAAAGGCACGCGTGCGTTTATAAACTATTTTTATTAAGTTTCTTCTAGCATTTGTCTGAGAAAGTGTCTATAGTAGATTTGTGTACTATTTTGTTATTGATTCTATGTCAGTGGTAAAGAGACAAAATGTATAGTTATAACTATTACTACTACCGTCGTCGTCGTCATCGTCATTCGTCGTCTCATCCCTTACAACCCGGCTTTTCATAATTGGTTGGACAATATTCTGTTCCATTTGCAACGCCTGTTTCATTTGCTTTGGTTAAAGCTTTATCGGCGTATGTACATTACTGACAAGAAGCAAGACACGATGGCGAGATCTGCTGGTCCTGGTCACCACGTGTTGACCACGTTCGGTTCCTTGCGGCGCAACAGACGCACTGTTGTCATCTACTCTGCCAAAACGGCATGCGGCGTTAATGTGAGCGTTTTTCGCTTTGCCGAAGACAACTTTTTCATCCTGCTCTCATGTACTTCTCGTGTTTGTGATGACCAAAAGTACCTGTTTGATTGACATGCATATTGCTGCGATGATCTGATGAGTTTATTTGGTGTCCATATTTTATATATGCCGTTTCCAAAGTTGTGCACCGCTTGTAAACGATCGCATTGGAAACCTTGCAACAATAAACTGGTGAAATGCACGTTTTGTTTGTTTTACTCGATCACCATCCGTAAAAATAACCGCCGCGTCGACGTCGATCAACTACATGGCAGCGAAGTCAGATCAGCAGATCAGCAAATGTCGTCAGCGTTGTCCGAAGAACGTGCGATTGGCCACAGAAGGATGACGACCACAGTGTGACCAAATGCGAATGATAGCCTGAAGCTTTGATTTTCGACAGGTCTGCCTTTGAAGAAGCACTTCAGACCGGCATCTGGTGTTTTTTCGACCGCGGTCATTCGATGTCGATCGACTTGGCGCGCGGTCTCTACGGCACGGCCAGGCGGGCGATTCAACGCCAACTTGCCAACTTGCCGGCCGTTGGTTGTCGAGGTGTTTGTTTTAGCGCAACTACGTGACGCTATGAAAATCCTATGGCTCTTGTGCTGGCGGTGAATGCATCGATAAAACTAGTTTCACGACAATAGTCAACACTGGTGTTTGACAGTGATGAAGCATAAAACCGAATTCCCTGTGACCGACGATGACTGACCAACGACTGATGACTTACGCAGCTGTGCTGCCACTGACGACTATTAGCCTTTACCTGTTTCATGCTGGATATGGAAATCAAACAACTTACTTTGCCTTGTGCGACTGTAGCCGGACAGAACCTTGCATCTGGATGACGAATGATAATTTGTGTGCACCACTGTTGAACAGTATCTTCGAGTGCAGACACCTGCAGATTTCACTCAGCAGAAATAAGGCTCGTATCTGCTTAGTTTGCACCAACGAACACTTGGTCGACTTTAAGATGACGGATCGAATGACTTCGGGTCTCTCTTGTTATTACATGCTTGTATCTGTCCATTCTGTTTTATAGAGGCATGGTGATAAGTTATGGTGCGTGATAAACAAGGGATTCGCTGCGAAGCGGTATCTATGCTGATTGAAGCAATCATAGTTGACGTCTAATGGCTTATCAATGACTATTAGAACCGTAAAAGCGTGTCGGTGGGGTTACCTGGTTTCGGTTTCTTCTACTTTCACTTGGAGCAACTAAAACGCTCCGCATACATACTCATTCGAGCCTCTTTTGTTTTAAGTTTCTGTTCATTTGAATGCACAAGTGTGCATGGACATGGAATAGGTATGCACTACATATTTAATCATCATTTCGGCAAAATCATTAATCAGATAATTATCGAAATCATGCATTCATCATTATGTGTCGTAGAATTAGTGTTAGTACCAATAGTAGCAAATTGTGGATCGCTATCGTGTATCAGAATGGAGAATCGAGCAAAAACACTTAGTCTGCTTGGAGTCCTTCGCTAGCCGGCCAACCATCACGCATATTAGCCTGGTAAATTGTGGCCGTAGAACATCTGCCCGAGCGAATGCAGGCCACGGGTCAGCCATACTGGACGCTTAGGAAGCGCCGTCGGATGTCTCAGCTACAACCACAATGACAACACGTTCACCATGTCCAGTCAGGGTCGGTGGCCAGGCACTTACCGTAGCGGGAGTGTCGCGTGTGCACGACAGCATCTCGTACCTGCGGACAAAGGCGATTGAGTAAGTTGCCAAATTTCACGGCGAGTCGCAGCACTAGGGCTAAGTGATCAGCTGATGAGAGTGAAAAAACGCCTTGACCTTTTCCGCAATTCATATTCCGTTGGCCGTCACATGCCATCAAATTGCCACCACTGATGACCGACTGTAGGGTAGTGTTGTCGACCAGGACCTGGAGGCTGAGTGCTTTTTAGCTCGTTACCGAACGACGGCGACGGCAAGGCGCTTCGACAACTTGCCGAGCCTGTGTCCAGCGTTAGCCGGCCGGTCGTCACCCCCGTTCGGTGGTGGTGGTGATGGTGACGAACAGCGCGTACTTAACATTCAGTATGGGCTCATTTGATAGGCGGGGGGCATAGAAAATGCGCTGGGGAGCCGATGAGCGCGCGCAGCACTTCAAGGCAAAGCGGCTTGGCTGAAGGCAGCTTTTGTCTTCCATGGATAAGAAAAGTCCGATGGATCCGAAGCTGGCAGCGGTGGTTTACCGCGTGCGCATCTGTTTAATTCGTTGAAAGAACGGAAGAACGGCGTGCAGCGACCACCGACCGAAGTCAGACACTAGCGCATGCTGATTAGAAGTGTTTTACGACAAAGTTGATGCGATGACATGATGCGCTCCGGCTTCATGCACCGACTTATCCACATATATACGCGTACGCTCATCCGTTTCATCATCATCATCAGGTTCACGCGGAACGCTCGCCGCCACGCCACCACTGCCACAGGAGACAGAGGCGGTTGCAGAGGCGCTAAATGCCATGCATGCACACAGCCGTACTAACTAAACGGCGCGGTCCGCGATATCCTCTTCGATCAGATCACCTCACTCAGTGGCATTCGATCTCTAATCTACAGATTGATCTATCGATTACCTGATCTATTGATTTGCTGCGAATTGAGCCGGTTTTCGCACATCACCGTTGTTTTGGCACAACTCCTTGTTTTTTCAACGGTTAAGAACAACAATCTGGCTGACAAACGAAAGTTCCTGTTGGCTATGCTCGTATGCGAGATTTGCAATTAAGAATAGAGCAAGCACATCTGCAGCCGTTCTCGAGCTTTCTGCCGCGAAGGAAATGAGCGCAATTCACGACTCTCACGTTTCAATGGCTAGAACAGTTGCTTTGAGATTAATCATGTATGCTTCATAATAGCTAGATTAGCGATCTTTGAAACAGTTGAATCACTCTCTCAAGAGAAGTACCTGTGGTGACAGTACTACGAAAGAATCAGTTGAGCCAAAGCTCCGAGCAAAGTTCAATCAATTGCGATAAAGTTTGTTACTTGTCATTGGGTACAGCAAGATTCCGAACTGACATAAAAGAAACGTGAATGAAATCGTCGTCTGAAACCTATTAGAATTGGATGTAGATGCTGCACTGTGGAAGTTTAAGAAAAAATAAACTCAATGCGTGATAGAAATGAGCACAGCATGATACATTTCGAAGGTTTAAAGACTAGCGTGAGTGACAACATAATGGTATTATTGCAAGGGTAGTAAAAACTTCTAACTTATGCGGATGGTCAAACAGTGAGAAACGAGGCAAGCGATGTTGAAGGCAAAGACTAAGACTGACTTTCGTAATAAATACGAAAACTTCATAGAATAGTTATATAGCTCGACAAGAAAAGGCAAATCGTTGAAGTGGGCGAACTATAAAGCGTAAGATCGTGGCAGAAACGAACCGAACTTTTGGCGCACAAGAACTTAGAAAGACTGTCGCACAAGCAAATTCTAAATGAACAGCAATCATTCCATTAAGACAATGGTTTAAAATCTTAAAGCGTTAGCATCAGAAATGCACCAAGTTATGTTCAATTTATTAAAAATATTAAGTAGCGAAAAACTAATTAGACCGTGTTTAACGTATTCATTATTATGATCATAATGGCGTTTTAGGCTGGCGGTATTATTAAATGCACAAACTTTAATTGGGTAACAGCAGAGGCAGCTTGTTTGATTATAGTGAATGAATGCCATCACGTGGTTCGCGAAATAATTTTTGCAGATCCCTGTACACTGCTAATTTAGGTGGCTGCAACGTTAAACTTAAATCATTTTCCTTCAACATAATTTTGAATAGAGTAACTCGTCAATAGATATTGCCTGTTAAATAGGTCACATGAGAATGATTTAATATAATAAATTTTCTAAGAATGTTTCCTCCAGAAGCTAGAATGCAACTTGGACTCGACAAATGGGCCACATTAAAAGGAACGGATACTATATCAAAATGGAAAGATGGTCATTATAAGAGGATGAATCAGAAATTTGCAAGAATGACACCTCTGAAAGTTCTGATTAAATTAGAATGTTTTCATAAAAGAACGCCAAACAGAAGGCCAGCATAATTAGCTAATTGCAGCACCAATATTTGAACATTAAGCCGGCATTACAGAGTTACCATGACAGGCAAACAAAGAAATGCATATTTCTGCATGAATGGATTAATCTTTTGGCGTCAGTATGAAGTCGCAGTATTTTGCCAAGAACTGTTGGAAATATTCCCAAAATATTGAGAATATAATGAAAATGGACTTAGGAAAATACAGAAATTGAAAACGTGCTATCGATTATTTTAGTCGAGAAAACAGAGAAGAGAAGTTGTGAAAAGCGAAATGTCATACGATAGTAAGAGAAGTAGGACAAGTAGAAAATATTTTGCCATGGCAATAGGTAAACAGTTTTTCGACGTTTCAGTAGCTACTTGAAACTCTGTTAACTGCAAGCTGAGGTAAAAGAGAAAATTTGCAATTTTGCAAATATGTGTCTAAACATCACCGTCGATTGGAAAGTAGACTGAATTCAGCTAATCCTCCAAAACATTAAGGCAACACTGAAGTTACTAGTAAAATCAAAAAGAGAAAACAGTGCTTCTGTGATGTAAGCTTGACCGATGCATATATATTTACAGAAAGAACAAAGCACTGACCAGATTGACACTAGGAGGTGGTATCTCCAAAGGGACAAAATTGTGATTTGAACGGTGTTTCAGAATTGCAAAGCATTGAAGAAAATTACAAAATGGCGCTTTGCCAATTCAGCTGCCTGGCCCTCATCAACATTTCCAGAATGAATTTAGACGATGTGAATTCATAATTTTTATCAAAATGGTGACTCCATATTTGTAAGGAAGAAATTTAAATTGAGAATTTGTGACCAGTTAAGAAGGGAAATTTGCATGTCAGTATTTTCATCGGTTAAACTAAGGGTATTCGTATCTTTCCTGATCACGAATGAAGCAGATATTGCCCTTAAATGACTCACACAGTCTCCCGTTAGTGATGTAATACTATACGCATTTCGCTGAACTGAGTGTAGGCAATAGGCAGTGAATCTTAACATGGCTAATCTTGAACGTAATGTGAATCTAGTGAGACTGCTAGCTAGTACAGTGATAATGAAAGACACTTTGGGAAAGATAGAGGTGATTAATTTAATCTTTGTGATCTATGCTGCAGCATGAAAATGATGACAACCCAGCAAGAAAAAGATAGGTTTAATCGCAGCTTAAAATGTATCTTCCCTATTTCATTTCACTGTGTCAGCACAGCAATAAACATCACGTTGTATAGCAGCCACTTGTTTAATTATCTATGATATTTTTCAAAGATTAACGGGCGGGACAAGAGGAAAACAATTTTGGGACAATTTCTCAAAAAACTTTGTAAATACTCTACACTACGACGATGGACTACCAGCGGTATGTCGGGAACGGACAGTCGAGCTCTACTTCAGTGTTTACGATTTCTCCAGGAGACGCTGATTTTCGCTGCGGGCACTTCGATGACCACAATTATTCCTTGTTCTCTCTCACCATTATGCTCGCAAAGGCTACAGCTAATTAAACTTGCTTAATGCGCACAAAGGACGCTCATGAGTGCGTAATCACCCTGTTGCCGAACTGTCGTCGACGGGGGGTAACAAAAGCTGTACGATGTCCTTGTAGTGGCCAGGAATGCGTCTCGAACAAAAGCGTCCACTTTCGCCACTGTTTCCAAAGTTGCACCTCAATAAATTTTCTCACGTTATGCTTTGTATAGCAGAAGTGCAGGTCTCGTCTGGTCTGCACGAAACATTCGAACGTGCATACGGGGTCGCTGACGGCTGGGTGGCATGACCCTGACTGAAAGCGGTAGTGGCTTATGAGTGGACGTTGTATTGTTACTGTTAGGTGGGTGCAACTAAATTCTCGTGTCTTCCGCAGCAAAACTCAGGGAAACTGTGTGAAATCTGTTGAGCAGCGGATAATAACGGCCCGATCATTCCTAACGGTGAATTTGTTATCCGTCAAGCGACTGTCTCTGTGATTGTGCCAATCCATTTGACATGTGGCCTAGCATTTCAGCGGTACATATCGAATATCCACGATTTATTTTTGGCCGACGTCTTTTGAAGTTGAATTGCCGTTGTATGGCATCCCTTAGTAAAGCCTGTCTCCGTGAAACAGACAGAAAGTAAGCTTGTATCCTGCATTCGTTTCGTCATCAGGTCTGCCTCAGCGGACTGTGTTAGTATGCGCGTCACCGCAAGTGAACCTATCTTTTGTGAGTGCCGTTTCGCACTCATTACGTGGTGTCGAGGCAACACCGGTTGCATGTAGGCGAAACGTTTACCTCCCGATTTTGGCTGCGTTGCAAGGTCCAGTCTGTGTCATGCAATTCCGTTTCAACCGTTGACGATGACCGAGTCACCGAACATACGCCATTCGGCCCCACACTAGCGTTTCATTCAGAGCATACACCGTGTTGCACAGAACACAGTCTGCCTTTATTCTAATGTGCTCGTCTCGAATTCTCTCTCATCTTCTCTAAGTCGTCGTCGCTCGGTAATTCGACGAGTTGTGGCGAGATACGCACGCACGGGCGTTTGCAAGCAAAGGCGCTTTTTTCCGGTCGACTTCTGGATGTTAAGTGTTAAATCGTATTCAAACTTTCAGACAATATTCACGTTACGGATAAAAATTTTTCTTGTAATGCGCACAGTCTTCAACTCGCCGGTGGAGAAGACGCGAGGAGAGGGCGACGTGACGCGTTTTCCTCGCCGCTGTGACGTCACGACGACCGACGAGCGTGGTTAAGCGAAGCACGCGTGGCCGGTGTGGTACGTTCGTGGCAACGTGCGGCGATCAACAGACATCGACAAGCATTACTTGCCGGATTCTCGCTTTATCACGGTTTAATAATTCATCTCTGGCGTCACTAGCCGATGGCTATTCAATTATTAACACCTTTCCATCTGAAACGAAGACGGAAAGCGTTGGCGTTTCCATCCGATACAGTAACCGTGGTGACACTCGACTGTTGCACTAACAACAAGTTCGACTTGTGCGCCGACGGAGG